ACTTATTTGTTTTGTTTTCTTTGTATGTATGGATTACTTAGGTTGTTACCGACATCTGGTGAAAATTTCATGTCACCAGCACCTTTAGAAATATATTTACTGGGAAAAATGGTGACGTGTTCAAGTCTTATTTTATCCGCTGTATCTACGGATGACACACAAGGGCTGTACAGTACATTTGAAAACAATTAATGATGTGTTTTTGCTCCAAATTCATTTCATAACATCAGCTGAGTGTTTGAAACATCTTCATTTTGTGATCTGACGTGGTTTCATATCACAGAATGAGGCAAAATCATTTTATAATATTCTATAATATTATAATATCTCAGTGATAAAGGCTATTAGCATTGCATTATAAACATATTCATATAAAAATACCCAACATGGCTTTAAGAACAAAGATAAATCATTTAGTTGCAATCGTTTGTTTATTGTCTTCATGTTTCATCAGTTATAACCTCTCTATCTGCATTTTATTCAGCTAAAGTGATAACTGAATGCCTTAGTCCATATTAGGGATTTCCTGGAACGTCATATGCTTTTTGACTTCTGTGCATTTCACTTATGGATTTACTGTGCGAGGGCGCCCTGAATTAAACAGACATTGCATTGCATGTGTGCACTCACTAATGCTCACAACACCTTATTTTGGGTACAAATAGTAAAAATAGTACTTCTAAGTTTTTCTCCAGTGTAGAGGAGGTTTTGTTTTCTCTCTCTGTGGATGTATAAGATATCCTGACAAAAATTAAGAAACTACAATCCCTACCGAGACTCAATCCCGCGACCTTTGGGTTACAGATCTGACTCGCTAATCATTAGGCCACATCTGCCTCAGAGGGGTGTCTGCCTTAGCATATTTTGTGGCGATAGCAAAAGTATTTTTGTTTGTAGACTCAGAGGTGTCACTAGTGGATGAAAAAGGCACACTGAATATAGGGGGCCCAGAGGCATTGGTGTCCCTTGTGCTTCCTACCGAGTCAATGTACCCTTTTGAAGCCGCCACCCATTTTTTGAGATCACTTTCCAAATTAGTTCATATCATACAAATAGAAGATGCTTCCTCTTGCACTCAGCATTCACTGCTCCACCCACTTTCTCCCATTATGCATTTAAGAGAGAAGCATGTGGGTAATGAAGGGCTGAAAGTAATGTAGATGTTACAAAGTTGTTGAAATAAAATAAAATGAATAAATAATAATAATAAATAAATAAATAATAAAATAAACAACCCAGAGGGATATGTCCCCTCTAAAATGGTTCAAAATTATGGTTCACTCCTTATGCCATTTTTGCTTCACAGATAGAATCTCCACTTGATCATCCACCTTCGGCATTTTCAAGGTCTTTAGCAGGTCTAAAGAGAGCAAAGAGAGGTTGGGTTATTCCTCCGTTCCATGTACCTGAGAATAGCAGAGGGCCATTCCCAATGAAGCTGGTCCAGGTGAGTGAAAGTCATGAAGAGACTGTTCATTATGAGATGGATGAGAAAGAGGTCTGTTATTGAATTGTTCCCTTATTGCTTTCTGAATTTAGATAAGGTCCGCCTTTGCCAAGGAAACTGAAATGGTATACAGCATCACAGGTGAAGGGGCAGATCAGGACCCAAAGGGGATTTTCACAGTTGAAAGATTATCAGGGAATCTCTTTGTGACTCAGCCACTCGACAGAGAGAAAAAAGCTTCATACAGAGTAAGGTCATTTTTAATCTCTTTAACTTTTAAAAGGTTTGACAGTTTTCTTTTCTTGTTTTTACAGAGACTGTACATTTTAAATGTACAGTATGTAGTCAACCAGGATGCCTAGTACCGCCACGCTTAGGCTACCATCGCAGTAATGCCGCAGCGGCAAATACAAATCAGTCAGATGTGAAACTTGTTTGCGAAATCACCACTAGGTGGCGCAAAGGGACTGTTAACACCGTGTCAGCATGTGATGTTTTTACTTGTGAATGAAGATAAAAAATAATGAAATAAATTACTAGTTTAATAATAATAATAATATAGCATTATAACATGAAATCTGAACTAATTATTCTAATTGCTTAAAGTTTCAACTTTTTGACTACAGTTAGAGTGAAATATAGGCTAAAATGACAGCAGCGCTTTAAGAGTGCTACTTTTTACTGTAGGGGAGACGGGTATGGTTGAAACATGGGGAGAGTTGTAACAACACCATTTCCACCTATCATGGATAAGCTAGGAGTCCCATGATAGTTTCATTATTTACCCACTTCCTCCCCAATCTTATATGAATGGTTGTCAAGGCTGTAAATAAATATATGCAGATTTTATAAAGAAAAAAACTGATTTTGGTGAAAGAATCCTTTTTTTTTTCTACCAAAACTATATTTTGCTTAATACTTAAACTGTTGCAGATTAAATCATATAACTTGCATTAGAATAAACTGTAGATTCTCAGGCAAAATATGATGCATTTTTAAACTGCAAATTTCAAACCATTATGCTAATATAGCTAACTAAACATTGGATGACAGGGGTGGGGTAAGTTGTAACACATTTTAACATTCCCTTTCAAGTTGTCTGTATGGAGCTTTTTTGGCAGCTCAAAGCCAAAGGAAGTGTGGGTAAAATGTGCCCTATGCAGTTTCTGGATCCACCAAGCCTGCACTCTAGGGTTAAAAACATTGGTTTGACACCATTGTGAATCTGATTGAGAAAATCCATACATAGACACAATCTCACACACAAATTTACACATTTTTTTTTGTTAGAATTATATATTATTTACCTCAGTACACTGGAGTTGAGTGTTCAGTAAGCATGAATATTGTTAAGGAGGTTTGTTCTAGTAGTCTATTTTACACACGCACACATTCCTACATCACACAGATAGTGGATTTGAGCTGTGGTCATTCGTAGAAAGTGCGACATTGTTTTGTATTGTTCTTTTAGATTGTTTCAATTAACCTGTTTTTGAAACAAACTTTATGAGGTGGCTGCTGTTTTTGCTTCTTTTGTCTAACTGTTACTTACCCCAGTATGTGTTAAAACATACCCCGGCAGTGGGGTAGATTGTAACAAAGGCACTCCATGTATTTAACATCAATTTATAAGGGCTGTGATATTCTTGCAGAGGTTTGAATTGCTGCCTTTTGTAGTGAACAAATGTGGGTGCTTTGTATAAAAGTTTGAGCAATCTAGCTCAAAAATTCAGCAAGTTACAGATGCTGAAACAAAAAGTGTTACAACCATACCCGGTCTCCCCTACAGTATTAACCCCTATTTGTGCACTGTGCATATTTATTTTTTCAACATTACTGTCACAGATAAAATGTTTGAAACTTAAATTTAATAATTCAATGTTTATTAAATGATCTTTTTATGACACATATTCATAATACTGTAAACGGTAAACAGCCCTGCTCATGACGCAGCGAAAAATAAAATGTCCATGATTCAAATAAATTGTAGATTACTTAAAAAATAAACGTTCCTTCATATTAGTTAAAAAGTTGCACAGTATTTATTCATTCCCGCGATTTTACTAAAAAATGAAGAAACTAGTAAAATGTTTCGTCTTATAGGAAAAACATATGGAAATTTAAACCAAAGGAATAAATTAGAATCCTCATGTTTAGGCTAAACTAAAATGACTGATTAATAAAACATTTCTTGTGAGTCACATTCAACACAATACAACCTAAGAGTTTTGTAATTTAATGAGATCTTAGGCTATTTATCCATTTAAATGCTCTTTTGTGAAACTGATATTTGCAGATCGGCCGAACTCAGAATCTGTGCAGCAAATATGACGCATTTCTCTGAATGACTGCAGAGAACAAACACCTGATTCACAACATTTGTTTTCAAATGCAGAAATAAAATGCAGTTTAGCTTTGCAAAACTGATGGTTTATATTCACAATAAGATACAGAATATGTAGAAAACTGAAAAGGACTCATAGCGAAAGTAGACGTTAATGTATGAACACGCTTTGGTTCCTATTTTAGAACGACTTTAGAAAGTCATTGTTGCCTAGTTAAAATGAAAAATTAATTTAGGTTTTATTATAAATAATATAACTATTGCTTCTCTCTCACGTGCGCAGACAAGCAGTTGGAAAAAGTTTCTGTAGCCTACTTCTGGGTCGTTCACTAAAAGTGAATTCGTAATTGACCATATGCATGATTACTTCCTGGTTTTAGATAAACCAGCTCAGTCATTTCCGGTCATCTGTACTGTGCCGTAAGGGGAGCGCCCTTTGCTTGGTTTCTAGTCTACATAATCCATTCACAATTTGGAGAAAAGTTTTGTTTGTCTAAGAGGACCAAACGTCCATGTACTGTATACCATTTCAGGAATGACAAATGTGAGTGTAAAATTTACGCGAGTGAATCCGTTAAACCATGCCGCGAGTCATTGCTATGATTGACAGTGGCAACGGAATGAATCATCTGATGAGCCGATGTCAAAATAGAGCTGTGCATTAAGTGATCAAAACTACAGCAGCAAGTCTGTATTGGATAAAACTTAAACGATGTAGTTATTAAATTAAATCTAAACATTTAAAAATATTGAATGCATAATTTAATTGTTATAACTTATTTAATTTGTATTTAACTATATAGGTATTTAAAGGGGTCCTATTATGCTCTTTTACAAAGTCTTGATTTTGTTTTGGGGGTGTACTAGAACATGCTCTTATGCTTGGTGGTTCGAAAAAAAGCATTATGTTTCACATCATTTACATAATTACAATACCTTTCTCCCCAGCCCGGCACAAATGGCTCAATTAGTTCCGGGTTTGATGACGGCCCGCCTTCCAAAAAATGAAATGTGGTGTGATTGGTTAGCTGTCCCAGTGCGTTGTGATTGGCGAACAGCTTAGACGGTGTTTCAGTACTGCCACGCCCCTTGCCAAAGCAGCAAGTTCCGTCTGCTCCGGTATAGTTAAGGATGGTGTCAATATCACCATATCAATTTGAGCCGGTTTCAGAGCCCGAGAATATTGAACAAGAACCTTTGCACTCACGGATATTGCAAGACATATTAGAGTGGTAACTAGGGTTGGGCCGATAGATGATGGCATCATCCATCGCCGATGGCTGATAGACATCCCGTTGTTGAGCCTGTGTTCTGACAAATAATGCTACCTATCAGAATATGCTACCAACACGGTATTCATCCTACTGTAAGGGTAGGTTTAGGATTGGGGTAGGTGTACATGTTAATAAGATCAAATCGTCAGAACATCGGCATTGTGACCCCCCCCCCCCCCCCCCCTCCCTCTTTTGGAAA